ATCTACGTGCTCGGCATGCTGACCCTCATCTCCGGGAAATTTTCCTCCGTCCATTTTAATTTGCAACTCCTTTCTTTTCCTTTCACCAAATTGAATTTTCTATGGGCCACAATTCAGAGTTTATTTCTGCAATTATCTGGAGTCGAGAGAAGTGTGTCTTTTTATTTGGATTACCTTTGTATTTTCTCGCTGCGCCCAGGAAAATTTACGACTCTTTCGCCTGGGTTTTTCTGGCTTTTATTTGATTTTCCACGTTGACCTTTGCGCTCGGTGCGTGTATTTGTGCACAAGTCAAGTGGTGTTTTTTCCAGACGCCTTTTGTTTTCCGTTTCAATTGAAATTTTGTCCGCAACATCTTAATGGAAAGTTTGGTCGTACACAAATTCTGTGATTGCAATTGCAAACATGCCGCTGGCACTGGGCCAAAAATAATGAGCAACAACCCGAAGAAATGCCAAATATCAGGAAATATTTTTATGCATCTGCAGTGCCTGGAAGCGGGAAAACGGGGTGTGGGTTTGGGTTTGCTTCATTAAAAATTCAAAAAGCGGCGCACGCTGGCAAATGGAAATTTGCAATTTGGGCCAAGCTAAGATTTGCTGCCTCATAAATCAAACTATTTGTCAATTGCTATCGAAATCTGGGCCCAATCTGCCCACCCAGGCCAAAAAAGCCGCGTGTGGGCTTTTGGCCAACTCTCGCTTTTTGGCCCAAGCCAATGTCTAATCATCGTTCTGCATAATGACGCGACTTTTGGCACAGAGTTTGCGTGTCTTTTAATGATGAGGGGAATGGTGACATGGTGATGTTTCATTACAGGCAATGTCAGCTAATTCCATTAACCAAAAGCCTTTCGTTGGCACAAAAATGGCCATAAGTAGGCGTGAGCTAAACAGGAACGCTAATGAAACCCTCGGATGTCGTACAGAATGGTAGGGGCAAAGAATTTTATTTGGATTTTAAATGCTTTCTTTAAGCAACAAAATTACAGGAAAAGCATAGCCCAAATTACTTTTGCAGTGCAACTTATTTCACAAGAAAGAAAAATAACTTTCAACAAAGTTTCGGGGTGACATAATTTATAATAAAAGAATTTTGACTAAAGTTAAGCTTGTTTTTCACGCCAAATTGAAGAAATTGTAAAAGTTTATTTGTTTTTCATTTGTAGAAAATATATTAAATTATATGGTCTCTAATAAAGTTCTCTATACCAAAAATGAGATTTCTCTGTAATTACACATTAATTACTTTCATAAAAACGGACTATAAATTTTGGACAACTTTAAGTTGATGACAATTCCTAGGTAATTTGTTAACCCAATGTCTGAAGAATTAATATATATGGAATTGATTAATTAAGCAGACTTTTTGGCACCATAACATCGAGGTCACTTGAGTTGTGGGGGAGTTATCAGCGGGAGCAATTCACCAACATCTTGTTTTATGTCTCTTGTCGGACTCTAATTAATTGATAAATGGTCTCGTTCCCCTGTTTTTTTATTGACATTTTTTTGTGTTTCTATTTTTTTGGGCAAGTGCAGCACCCGCTGTGAATTCCACCCACATACTTTGTACAACAGCGAGTTTTGCAATTTATGTGTTGGCTCTTTTTTGTGTTGGCTCTGTCAACCACGCCCCCGTCCACGCCCCCGTCCACGCCTCCGCTAAAATTCCCAGCTGAGGATTAGAAATACGGGCTTCTGGGCTCAGATCTAATGCATTTTTGAGGCGATAGCAGAAGGCAGTGCTAATCTGCAAGACAAATGCATAAACAACATCTGACGCCTTGATAAATTGGCAACTGGAAGGAGGCAGAAATCAGTAGTCAGACCCAGAGAAGCTGCAAGATTAAACCCGGCCCTTATAATCGCAGTCAAGCTGTTGCTGGGCTGCGGGCACACACTCAAAGATACAGTATCTGGCAGATACTGATTCCCAGCACAAACCTTATCAGCGGCCTTTTTAGACAAACGTTTCGCAACGGTCTATCTTTACTAGCGCTTTTTAATAGCGTTGCGATAAGGCCAGGAAATATGTATACTATATACTAATATGTATATTTTCTGCCTTTGCCGCAGGTCGTTAAATAATACCTATATTTGTTTTTGGCAAACTTTATATAACCAGCAAAGAAAGTTAAATGAAATAAAAGTGAAATTACCAGAGCAGGTAATGTATCTCTTACATGAGTCATTTGGGAAACTTTTTTTGTTTTTAGTTGTGTAACCCTTAATCTCTAGGAAATAAAGATTTCTTTTGTTTTCCATGAACTGCGAATTAAATAAAAAAAAAAAAGTATAATAACGCTGCCAGTGAAATTGAATAGCTGGCATTCTGCCCAGAAATTATACAACTACAACGCGTGGCGACAACAAGTTGTTGGCCAGCTGCTGCTGCTGGGAAATAAATAGAAATGTTATATGCGCTCACTTAATAGCCGACAAGTGTTTAATTTGTTTGTTTTGGGTTTCGCCCGATTAATAAATAAATATATAGCCAAGTATATAGCTCATTTCTTGCCTTGCCGTGACCTCAAAACACGCTGCCATCGGTGAAACGTTGCTCATTTATTGTTTACCCAATGCATTCCTTCGTTGGACATAATTGGGTGAATCGGCTGCATTCATTTTAATTTTATTGCCGGCTGCAAGAAGATTGCAGTTATGTATATATTTTTATGATTTTCTAAAGTGCAGCTGTGGAAGTTTGAGGGCAAAGTTTTCCAACGGGATTTGCAGAGCTAAAGAATGGGTTCTATTCTACAGCTAGGGCTCAGGTGAAGGCCAACCTCTTGCCGAGATTTATGGCCATGGCAATCGTTAAACGCTTTCGTCCCATGCAGACAGCTCTCCGTTGACTTGGCCAAAAATATTTGTGTCCGCTGCCCATTTATTATTTACGTTCTGCCACAGACAGCAGCGGATGTAAAGCGTCGAAGTCGAAGTCGAAGGTGTCCATTCATAGAATGCCAAACAAACCGCACAAAGTGGTGTGAAAACGTGTTCAATGTTGGGCGAGACTGTCGGAGATTGTTCACCGAATGGGTTTTATTTATGGCTATTGGTAACCGGCAAATTCAATTAAACAGATATTATCTTAAATGGTTATTTATGCGCCAATTCCCATAAGAGTTTGGGAGTTTATCTAGCGCTTTTCTCAAAAATCTATTCAGGTTAGTCCACAAACTGAGGAAAATAGTGTATAATTAAATAAGAATCCAAAGAAATAAGTCACTTTAGAATATATTAAATGAATGAATAAGCTCAGTAATTTTTTTTATTTTGTTTACAAGCTAATCCTAAAACCATGCGGTTTGATAATTTTTATCAGGGAAATTAAAGTCAAAATCCCTGGGGACAAGCTAGCTTCTTGAAATAAAAATGATTTATATAAACAAAATATACTAAGAGAGATGTCTCTAGAGATTTAAAATTCTCACAGACATTCGATAAATTATGGAAAACTATGTTATAGTTTTTCAATAAATTGCTAATATTATTACATTTTCCCCCAGTGCAGACATAGTAATTTATACGTAATGGAACTCCTTAGTTCGCCATAGTCAACTGCAGTAAAGTAACTTTAATCTGACACCTGCGGAAGTGGAGGGGATATGCGTATCTGGTGGATAGTTGGCCATTAGCCCCGTCTGATTAATGTGCCATGTGCATAAAGGGAAGGTGTGAAACGGCGAGGAAGACGTTTTCCAAGAACCGCATATGGCCATTGATTTCTGCTGGCTTATCACAACACTTGTTAGATGTTGCGAATTGGATTTGGGGGGAATTGCAGTAAATATTTATCCGCTGGATACGCCCGACTATGCTGACACTTTTATGACTCAAGCACGGCGGACTCCTGGATGTTTCCTTTATTTTCCACTTCAGTCCGCAAAAGTGATTGACGGCCGGCAGCAACCATTAACAGCCTGGCCAGTCTTTTGAAGTGGTCCAAGGAGATAAATGGAGCAGTGTGGAATGGCAGAGGTCTGTATTTAATAAACAAATTGGGCGCAGTGAGCAATTGCAGTGGCCCAATTGGAGGCAATGAATTATGGGCCTTTGATTCGATCGCAACTTCTGGATTCCTGAGTCACGCGTTGAGGGAAATGTATCAACAATTCGCTTGGTCAAGAGACCAATGAGACAGAGGAACCGGTTTAAGAAAGTCGCTACAGAGATACTCCAATACAGTCTCATCTGTCCGAAGCAAACAAAAGAAAGGTGAACTCTTCTCTTTTTTTCACTTTTTTTACACTAACAATTCGGGAGTTTCTGGAAAATCGTAGTGAGTAAGTCAAATCGTAGGTAAACCAATATTTATAATCTTACGCACCAGCACGGCAACAAAAACAAAAAGAAAAACAACAACATAACAATTACAGTCACGATCGGCGATGAATCACGACTTTGAATACCTGGATCCGGTGTTTTTAGTGCCGTTCACTTGGAATGCCGTTGACGTATTCAACCTAGAAATACGCACACACACGTTGTATACTTAACACTTATCAATGAATATTACCAGGCTTTGATAAAACCACTTATTCACACACACGCACACACGCATACACGCACACCAAAAAAGGTCACTGATAATGGAGACACAATCAATACATATAGTATAAGTGCTATACATATATGCACAATGACTTTTTCGGTTGTTTCAATTACATTGCATTGAATTGAATTGAATTGAGCAACAGCATTGACACGAGCACAAAATTCGATTTTTGGTTTACAATTCAATATCGCTTGTCAACCACCTGTAGCTGTATTTGTATTTGTTGTATTTGTATTCGTATTCGTATCTGTGTTTTTGTTATTTACTTTTTTTTTCATGAGGTGTGGGTTCTCTCTCATCGATATCTAAACTTTCGAATGCGGATTCATTTGCTTAGCACCTTTGATGCATCACTTATGTACGGCACGAATTGGTTTTCGGTTTTATATCATTTACTATATAATATCATATTTTAACCTTCCCAAATAACCGCTTACGTTGTGAATTTTTGTTTAACACTTCTTGCTATTGGGGAACTTTTATTTATATTGGCTGCTGTTAAAAAACAAACTGCGTCGTCGGCAAAGTTTAAACAGTTTGCCACTGAACACTGAACGCTGAACGAGTCGAAAGCCCGCGATTAAATATTCCGCTCGAACGTCTGAACAGCTCGCAAAGTTAACGTGAACTAAAAGGCCGAGCTAAAAATTGAACGGAGTCACGCCGCCTTAGAGGCGTTGCCAGCTCGTTTAAAAACGTTCAGATGTGGCCAGACTGTGGAAAACAGATGGCATTGCTGCCCGAATTCCCCGTTGGCGTATGAGTTATTTAACGTTTTCTTTTTTCGGATTTAATTATCATATTTTAATTTATTTAAAAACCGTAATATTATTTTGTTCGTTATATACGGTAGTAATGCTTATTATTTACTAAATTACATAAAGTTAAAAATTTGTACCGACCCAAAATTACCAACCAAGTTTTTAATATTTAAATCATGATTCTACTTTATTGTGCTCACAAAAACGGAAATACTGAAAGTGTAAGCAAAAACAATGTTTTAAACCAATTGCATGCTATTAAATTCCATACAAAGGTTTTAAGAACCCATTTCCTAATTCCCAGCCACAAATCATCTATATCTTCTACTATAAAAACAATCAAGTTGGTGGCTAACTAGATTGATGGCCTATTATCAATTACAGAGAACTGATTTTAACGGACTCTTGATGACTCGGCTTTTATAAGCATTTGGTTTTGGGTGTAAACAAATTTCGAGTGATCTAGAGATCAAACTGCATTAACACGCGAAACACAAACAATGTCATGTCGGTGGGGCAATTAAAAATGGCTGGTCATAATAAATCCGTAATTCCGACATTTAGAGACTTCTAATGGATGACCATCCGCCCAGTGGTGGTTCAGCGATCAATTGAGCCGAACGATCGCTGATCGCCGCAGTCAAGTACCGCTTAATGCGCAAATAATTGTGAATTTCCATAAACGGGGTTGGCAAGAGTTCAGTATAAATAGTGCCTGGGCCAGCCAGGAGTTTCCAAATCCATCCAAAAACTTCAAGTGTTCAGAATGCTGCGAAAAATCTGCTTTTTCCTGATCAGTTGTGTGGCCTTTGAGGCTGCCTTGGCTTGTGTAAGATTGTGAAAGGATCTGTATAGGATGAAACTTAATCCTTTGGATATAACTCATTTTCAGAATGGCTACAAGGCCAAGCTGGTGAAGATGGAGAACTGTGCCGGTGAGGATGCCATCATGACGGTGGGCAGCGACTTCAACATCAAGCTGAACAAGAAATGCGAGCTGGTGCCCTCGGGTTGCATCAGCAATAAGCCATTTGGAACCGCCGTGGCCAAGTTCAAGGTCCAGAAGGATGGCATCGTGATGAGGGAGGGCAAGATCGACCTGTGCGCCGCCATCGACCAGGCCACCACCGAGGCCAAGGACCTGCTCCGGCTCTTTGGGGCTCCCTCATCCTGCCCAGTGGCCGAGGAGAAGGTCTGCGCCAACGATCACACCGTGGACCTCAGCAAGTACAAGGCCATGTTGGGCATGGCCCGCGGTCACCTGATCATCGACTCGGAGGTCAAGCATGACACTGTAAGTTTGTCCTCATGACTTACTTATATTTCATTACCAATCATGTGGCTTTTTTCCAGGGCAAGTCCTGCTTCCATGCCGAAATCGAGCTCACCAAGAACTAAGTGTGCAAATACGTCCTGATGAGGGTCTTATGTTTATATTATGAGTCTTGCAAATCTTGTAGTTGTAAATACAAAAGCAATTCAAATTGGTAATGAGGTGCACACAAAAAAGTAATAAACAAAATATACCGAATTCGTTTTTGTCAAGTTTGAATTTTTTTGATACTAACGGAATACTATACTGTACAATATTATGATGTCTCAGATGAAAAATGTTTTTACTTTTAACTACGAAAAAACGAAATATTTTTTTTTAATTTTTAATACTCGTACCATTCTAGCTAGCAGTTTTTAACAACAGATTGATTTTTCAGGCGAAATAAAGGTATCAAAGTTATATATTAAATTTGTATTTATTCATTATTTTTTTTTTAATAAAAAAAAATCCGGTTTAATATTTTATTTAGAGCAACTAATACCTATTGAACATTTTCTAGGCTTTGTAAAAAATGTTATTAGAAAAACAATCTTGTGAAATAGTTTAGAATGACCTTAGTAGCAAATATGTTCACACCAAATAATTATGAAACATAGCTACAAAATGACTGAATATGTTTTGTATGCTTTGACTTTGTGATTTTACCAAGAACTTGGCCCCTGCCGTAATTAATGTTTTTGTATTTATCTGAAACTTCAGGCATGTACTTTATGGGCTTCCACCGCACTTCATTCTGCAATTGCTTCTGTTGTAGGAGCTTCGTTTGGAGCTTCCGTTGCAGCTTCCATAGTTTCTTCTGCTCCTCCAGCAGTAGTTGCAGTAATTTTGGTTGCTATTGTTCCTTCAGTAGGTATTTTCATATGATAGGCACAGCTATCTCTGCACTTTTTTAGAGTTCCAAACTCGTTTCTCTTAAAGAACTTGTAGCACCTAGTAGTCACCTAAATGATAGAAAGCTATGATAGATGTTCATTAGTATTTTAAAGCTGGTTACCTGTATGCAATCAAACAGAACTCGATGGAACCTGTAGTAAACTCTACGGGGTCCTCTACAAACACTTTCGTGTGCGTATTTGTGATTCACCAAACAGTCGCTGTTCTTGGCTAAGTAAACAGAAATTCAGGATTAAATTGGTGACCTCATCTGCGATGATCTAATGAAATCTTACTCCTGCGCCTAAAACCCTCTACAAAGAAGCAACTGACTGCTATAATTGTCAACAAAAGCAGTAGCTTCATGGCCGATCATCAGAGGGATTGGGACTAAGTAGACATCCAACTTGCTGAAAATGAACACGTAACAAATCAGGCATAGCATGAAAATTGTAATTTAAAATAATAATGTAAGTGCTTGTATGCCTTTAAAGCTCTTAAATAGTTTTACAAGTTACCAAAATAATATTATTACTATTTAGGCTATGATCAGTATCAAATATTTTGTTTTTATTATTGCTTCATCAGTGTATAATGTTTCACAACATTTTTATTACTTTTAAGCTTTAAAATATTTGTGAAAATTCCCAAGCTATATTTATTTTTGTACATACTTACTTTGGCACTATACTTACCCTACGATCAGTGATATATATTCTTTTAATTATTACGATAAAAAAAGGGGTATCTGTATTAGTAATATCTCTTTATATCAGTGTACACAATTGTAACATTCCACAACACTTTCGGCTTACAAATAGGTTTCAGAAACATTTAAAACTTAAGGTTAGTCCGATACGAGTAGCGAAGGTAGTGTAGTTAAGGTAAGGAAGCTGTTCATCGAAGACCGTCTTGGGCAGAGTGAGGATTTGGATGTGGAAGCGCGTTCAGCTTCAGCAGATTCCGGAAAAGCTATAGTCAAACTCGGAGTTCTTCTCGTTCAGGCGACCCAAATACTGCGAGTGCTTGATTCCAAAGCTGTAGGCGGGCACATGGGAGAGGTTTATCTATTTGTGAGCAAAATCAAGACAAATGGTCAAACAAACACATCAGATACTGTGCTGATTTAAGGAATTTAATCGTTAAACTATGCCCAATTCAGATATGGTCGTAGGCCCTGTCCGCCCGATTCTCCAACAAAAATTGAGTGCATTTCTGTGGAACTGTGACCGGCAGGGGTTTCTTGAGATAGGGGGAATGGAGAATTCCAAAGGAAATGGCCGGCGGCGAACGCTTCTCCCAGTACTGTGGGTTGGGTCAGGTTGAGGTTAAATCCATATACATTAGGATTACATCTCCATGTAAAATAGGGGATGCCACAAAATAAACTAGGGTGTCGAAATCACTTCAAAAGGCGTCGTATATCATAATATATTCAACCGACTTTTATATTTAAAATACATGATCCTAAATACTTTAATTAGTAAAATGATGATAGTAGAACTTGTGAATAAAATTGTGATAAAACAGCAATAGCAGTGGATATTTTCATGGAAATTATTTGTATGTCTATGTTTATAATTTCCTGCATTTTTAAATTCGGGAAATGATAATATACTTATGTTATACTTGAAAATCTTTATACATCCCCTTTAATAACCTAGTAGTGTTTTTCCCCCCGCTTACCTTCTCCGGACAGTGGGCTCCGGGTCCGGGCTTCGCGTCTTCGCTGCCCATCTTGTACTTGCCCCGCATCGAGTAGACCGGTGGCTTGGGTTTGACCACCGTGTACTCGCCGTCGTAGTATCCGGGTCCGGGGAAGATCATAACCGGAATCAGCGGCGGCTTCTCGCGACCCGTGATCGTGTAGGCCGGAGCCGAGCGGATCTTGCCCTCCTTGCTGCTGCCCATGACAGTGGGTATTTTGTAGACGTTAGGAGCTGTCAATGATTGGATGAAACAATGTAACTTGGGTGTCAATATAAGGGTTAGTCAATTCGGGGGTTAATTCAATGGCTTGTCTCTTGGGCTGGTGTTTGAATGGGTTTCGGGTTAGTATTCGGTTTGGATTGGATGATCTTGACATGACGTGCCTGCAAATAAACACACGAAACGGAAACGACGGACAACAAGGAAATGAGCAGACTTAGATCAGTTCACTTTCCAAAGAGTTAATGATTAATATCATTTTTGTATAAACTACCTAATTGTTTATATTTTATTAAAGAGATTTACCTTCTTTAAATTGAAAAAATTACTCATACGACTAGTATTTCAAATAAAATATTTGTATTTTTTAATTTAAGAATTTTTTTACTATTTAAGTTATTAAAGGTAATTAGATTTTTTAAGACGTCGTTTATTAGACATTCATTTAAGTGGTTTGACACGATAAGAGATGTGTGTAAAAATCCAACGTTGCGTATGAGTGATACTACTTAATTTGTTCTATTAAATATTAAAATTATTATTATTATTATTATTATTAAAAAAACAAAGAATTATCTTGGCGCCTAATAATATAATATTAAACTTGATAAAATTTGAAAGCTTTTTCTTTCATTGATATAGTTTTACTTTTTGAAAAGTTTACTGTCTACGAGTCCCTCTGGTTACCTGATTATCTTCTCCTGCACGCTGCTCGCCTCCACAGCGTACTTGACCGTCTGCATCCTCGAGGATTGGCCACTGGTGACGATGGCGCCATCGGATCGCACCACCGTCTGGTGGCTTACGGCCGCCGCCTTGGTGGCACTGGCATCCGACTTACCGCTGGCCACCACCTTCATGTTGCCCGTATCCTTCTGCCCTTGAACCACCTGCTGCATTGTGGTGGTTTCCACCTTGGCGTGGTGGTTGCCATTGCTCAGTGGTGCTGGTGGTGCGGACTTAAGCTCTTTGTGGGTGGCGGTGCCATTCACCTGCTTGGTGGTTTGCTTTTGCTGCAGCTCCGGCTGCTCCACCCCATTGATGAAGGTCTTTGTGGTGGTGGTGGTTGTTGTTGTTGTTGTGGTGCTGCTGCTGCTACCAGCATTGTTGCTGTTGTTGGTTGTGGTGGTGGTGCATTCCGCATTGTTGCGTACTGTGCCAAAATTACGGTATTTAACAAAAAAATAAAAATTGCCAACAAATTCGCATAAATAAGGCGATGCAGTGGTATGAAAATAAAAAGCACAAACTAATTACACATAAGCGTTTCAAATGAGTCAGTTGGTTTTTAAATAATAATAATATTTATTACTGCTACTAATACCTGCCCATGGAAAGTCATTTAAAAATGCTAACCAAATTGTAGAAAATTAACAATGGCATAGAAATTATAATTTTAAATGATAAGGTTTATTTTTAGTTGAAAGTTTTTATATATATTCTAGTATTTACTTGAAATATTTATAATTGAATAAATTCTTTTTTAAAATTTCTAAGGCCCCATTTTAAAGATGCACATTTGAAACGCTTTTAAAAGCAGCTTGTGATGGAATGGCATGTGATGGTCTAGCAGATTCTTACCGGGACTGGCCAGACGGCGTTCGCGTCTTTGGACAATGCGATCTTCGATGTACACGCCCCTGGGTTCTAGTGATTCGTGAGTGTATTTACAGAGATTCGAAACGGATGAGAGCATGGCCAGAACACCAAGGAATGTGTGTGCGAACAAACATGGAACAGAAGAAGACGAGACACAGAACGACAAAAACACAGATAGTACACAACCGGATCCGGCACCAAAAGTGGGAAGCGAAATTGGGGGTCACCTACCTGGAAGCGAAGCAGTGGGCACTGTCTTCAGGCCAAAACTATAGGCTGGCGAGCTGTCCAGATTGCACTGCTCGGGATAATAGTGACCAGGGGCTAAGTGGGTGGGCAAGGAAACGCGGGAGACATGCAATACACAACAGCAACATCAAGATCAACATGCAACATTCATGGACAATCGTGGACAGTCCCAGATTAAAGCCACTACTAGTTACCTGGGGCATCGGTAGTCATGCGGATCTCCGACTTGGTGCCAAAACTGTAGGCGGGTGTGGAGTGCAGGTTGTGCTTTTCCGGCTCATAGGCGGAGGGTGCTGCAATCGTACTGATGCTCGTTAGGGTGACTCAATTCTTTTTTGGGTATCCTTCTGGTCATTTTAAAGTCATTACCCCCACTTGAAATTTTTATTTTTATTTAGCGCAACTATTTGAGAATAGGTCCTTGAGATTCAAAGACTATCTTAAGGATATCTTCTGAGACATGAGCTTTGAAAAAAGAATATGCTGCAAGTATCACTAAACTTTAAAAATGTAAAAACTATTTTTTACTTTTCGATACTATTATTCTATCTAGTTTATTTTTTTCAATAAACAAAGTGTCTTTGCAAGTGGGGGTAAGCGTGATGTCCATTCTGAAGCAGTTCTATAGCATTTCTAGTGGAGGTTACTTGCCTGGAGTGTCGGAAATGCGCTCCCGTCCCAGTCGCATGCCGAAGGTGAAGGCCGGAGTGCTGGTGCTGTCCACGTGGCACTGCTCCGGATGGTAGTCGCAGGGAGCCGGCGTCTGGCTGACGGGATCGGCGGCTGGTCGACCTGCAATGGTGTAGGCGGGTGTATGGTCGAGGCGAACCTTCTCGGGTGAGTAGTCGCAGGGCGCAGGATGGAGGTGCTCCGGTTTGGGGTCGTGTTTGCCGCCAAAGCTGAAAGCGGGTGCTCGGTCCAGTCGCACCTTCTCGGGGCTGTAGTCGCCGGGTGCCGGGGATTCGCTCAAGGGTCTCGGATCGTGTTTGCCGGCGAAGGTGAACGCCGGATTGAAGTCCTGCCTGACCTTCTCGGGGTGATAGTCACCAGGTGCTGGGGTGTCATTGCAAACCCTGGGATCATGTTTCCCTGCCATTGTGAAGGCTGGATTGTGATCCTGTCTGACTTTCTCTGGGGAGTAGGCTCCCGGGGCAGGGGTCTCACTGGGCTTGTGAAGATCATGTCGCCCGGCGAAGGAAAATGCGGGCACATGATCTTGCCTAACTTTCTCGGGATGATAGTCACCAGGAGCAGGGGTATTGTTCTCCGACTTTAGATCACTCTTAACACCAAAGCTGTAGGCGGGAGTATGATCCAGGCGAACCTTTTCGGGACAGTAGTCGCCCGGAGCTGGCGTACCATTGGTCAGCTTTTGAATGTATTTTCCAGCCATTGAGAAGGCGGGATTGTGATCTTGTCGGGTCTTCTCGGGAGAGTAGGCTCCAGGAGCGGGAGTATCACTTGGTTTCTGGAGATCATGACGGCCGGCGAAGGAAAAGGCGGGAACATGATCTTGCCTAACTTTCTCGGGATGATAGTCACCAGGAGCAGGGGTATTGTTCTCAATTTTGGGATCATTTTTACCCGCAAAAGTGTAGGAGGGTGTATGGTCGTGGCGGAACTTTTCGGGACTGTAGTCACCAGGTGCGGGAGTGTCATTGGAAACCTTAGGATCATGCTTGCCGGCCATTGAGAAAGCTGGATTGTGATCTTGCCTGGTTTTCTCCGGAGAGTAAGCTCCTGGAGCGGGCGTATCACTTGGTTTGTGAAGATCATGACGACCAGCGAAAGAAAATGCTGGGTTGTGATCCTGCCTTACTTTCTCCGGATGATAATCCCCTGGAGCTGGGGTATTGTTCTCCACCTTAGGATCATTCTTGCCACCAAAAGTGTAGGCGGGAGTGTGATCCAATCGCACTTTCTCTGGGCAGTAATCTCCAGGAGCAGGTGTACCATTTACCAGCTTTTCGATATGTTTGCCTGCCATCGAAAAGGCAGGATTGTGATCCTGACGAACTTTTTCGGGGGAATAAGCTCCTGGGGCGGGCGTATCACTGGGTTTGTGAAGATCATGACGACCTGCAAAGGAAAAGGCGGGATTGTGATCCTGCCTTACCTTTTCCGGGTGATAATCTCCGGGAGCTGGAGTATTATTCTCCACCTTGGGATCATTTTTGCCACCGAAAGTGTAGGCAGGTGTGTGATCTAGACGAACCTTCTCAGGACTGTAATCACCTGGAGCTGGTGTGTCGCTGGAGATCTTTTGGCTGTGTTTTCCAGCCATTGAGAAAGCGGGATTATGATCTTGTCTGACTTTCTCCGGACAGTAAGCTCCTGGGGCGGGAGTATCACTTGGCTTTTGGAGGTCATGACGACCGGCAAAGGAGAAGGCGGGATTGTGATCCTGCCTCACCTTCTCCGGATGATAATCTCCTGGAGCTGGGGTATTATTCTCTATTTTGGGATCATTCTTGCCACCAAAAGTGTAGGCGGGAGTATGGTCTAGTCGCACCTTTTCAGGACAGTAGTCACCAGGAGCTGGTGTACCATTTACCAGCTTTTCGATATGTTTGCCTGCCATCGAAAAAGCAGGATTGTGATCCTGACGAACTTTCTCGGGGGAATAAGCTCCTGGGGCGGGAGTATCACTGGGCTTGTGAAGATCATGACGACCGGCAAAGGAAAAGGCAGGATTATGGTCCTGCCTAACCTTCTCCGGATGATAATCTCCTGGAGCAGGGGTATTGTTCTCTACTTTGGGATCATTCTTTACCCCGAAACTGTAAGCTGGTGTGTGATCTAATCTAACCTTTTCGGGACTATAGTCACCAGGGGCGGGAGTGCCATTGGCAATCTTCTGATCATACTTGCCAGCCATTGAGAAGGCTGGATTGTGATCCTGTCTGGTTTTCTCCGGAGAGTAGGCTCCTGGAGCGGGAGTTTCACTGGGTTTGTGGAGGTCGTGGCGACCAGCGAACGAAAAGGCGGGATTGTGATCCTGTCTAACTTTCTCGGGATGGTAGTCCCCAGGGGCTGGAGTGCTGTTCTCTATTTTAGGATCATTCTTAACCCCAAAACTAAAGGCGGGCGTGTGGTCCAGGCGAACCTTCTCGGGAAAGTAGTCACCAGGAGCTGGGCCATCGCTGGCCACCTTCTGACTGTGCTTTCCGGCCATCGAGAAGGCGGGGTTGTGATCCTGGCGGACCTTTTCCGGGGAGTACGCACCCGGGGCGGGAGTTTCACTGGGCCGCTGCAGATCGTGTCGCCCGGCGAAGGAGAAGGCGGGATTGTGATCCTGGCGGACCTTCTCCGTTTCGTAGGCACCCGGTGCTGGCGTGTCGCTCGTCTTGTGCAATTCGTGGCGACCGGCGAATGAGAAAGCGGGATTGTGATCGTGCCGCACTTTTTCGGGACTGTAGTCGCCCGGTGCCGGAGTGGAGCTATCGAGCCGCTGCTCGTGCTTACCGCCGAAGGTGAAGGCCGGCGTGCGGTCATTGCGGTACCTTTCCGGGGCATACGAACCGGGCGCGGGCGTCTCGCTGATGGACCTGGTCTCCGGGCGGCCGGAGAGGGTGAAGGCGGGCGTGTGGTCCAACCGCACCTTCTCGGGATTGTAGGTGCCCGGTGCGGGCGTGTCGCTGCACTTGGCTAGCTCCACGCGGTGGCCAAAGCTGAAGGCGGGCGTCCGGCTCAGCACGCACTTCTCGGGTTCGTATGCTCCAGGTGCTGGAATGGGAGTGTTTACGATGTGAGTGTGGGAATGTCTGCTTAAGGTACTTCTAAGCCTTAAAAACATGCATAAAATCTTTGCTTCTAAATGATTAATAAATAATAATAAATAATAATAAAATGTGTTTCATAACACACTTCGGGGTAAAAACATAATAGGATTAATTTATGTTTTTATATACTTATTTATATTTTTCTCCTTTTCATTTATTTTCTCGCCAAATTATTTGCTAGAAAGGCAGTTTATGTATACAGAACAATATGAAAATATGCTTTAACAGCGTTATCCATATTCAAACAATAATAACAATAAATAAGAAAAACAGTTGAAAATGCTTACAGAAAAATTTTAAAATATTCTTTATCCTCGTTTTCCATGTTCAATCATGTTGGCAAGATAATAAATATTTTTAAAAGTGTAATGGAATAATAATGTAATAACTTTGAAGAATTGTTGGGACTTGGTCTAATAACATTTCTAGCCACATATACAAAACAATTAATTAAAATGTTTAATGGAGAAGCATAGATAACTTCTCAGATATTTGTGAAAAAAAATCATGTTGACTAGTTGTAAATTTATTATGGTCTTAAATTTTTAAAATTTTATTTATGGATCTTTTCCAAACATTGTTAACAACTCACCAGGTGTGCAATCGACGACATCGTGGGAGGCCTTTCCTGTGATTGAGTAAGCGGGTGTGGAGTGCAGCCGAGATTTTTCGGGGCTGTAGGCACCGGGTGCTGTTTTAAGGACATAAAATTGTGATCTCAAACTCAACGCCAAATAACTAACTAACTTTAAGCCAAGCTGTAAGCTGCTTACCTGGTGTATCGCTGACCTGGATGTGCTTGGTTTTCAGGCCAAAGCTGTAGGCGGGCATGTGTTCTAGGACAACCTGCTCAGGTTTGTAAGTGCCCGGCGCTGATAAAAGTGCCAAAGTTGTGTAATTGTCTAATTGTGTATATTTAAGTGTTAAAGACAAACCTGGCGTGTAGTCTGGCCGCTGTTCGTGGTGCTTTATGCCGAAACTGAACTCCGGCGTCTTGTTGAGCTTCACCTTCTCGGGACAATAGGCGCCAGGAGCTGCGGATGGGATGGATTATCAGAATAAAATGCCACCAGGGGATTGAGTGATTCAAAAGAGGGAAGCGCAACAATTCTATAGATACTGTCCAATTGGGTTCGCTTGAGCAGGTGGTGCCTCGATACAGATACAGATACAGATACAGTTACTGGGATACAGATTTGGGGATTATTACCTGGTGTGCCCCGATCGTGTTCGATTTTAGTTCGTCTACCGAAAGTGTAGCGTGGCGCATTCTTTTTTGATTGCGTGACCTTTTCAGGGCAATAGCTATTCGGAGCTGTTAGTGTTAATAAAACATAAAAATTGGTACGGCCATTGTTTTAGTCTACTCGAATCAAAACTAGAGAACACTCTACACTATGTGAGCTACGACTAAGGGTGAGTGAAAGTTAAAGATACAGATACAGATAGTAGAAGTTATATAGTTCGGGAATTAGTAATGAGGTGGGCTTGAATTGGGGGGTGGAAATTAGAGAGCGGAGCTAGACCAACACCAACACCAACAAAAAAAAACGAATGGCAACAACAGACAGTTAGTTGGGTTACCTGGATTGTTAACAAAGTACACGTTAACCTTAATGCGAAAGGAGTATCGTGGGGCTCGCCGCTTGACGACATCAAGGGGCACCACTCGATAATGGTTGGGACCTGAGTTTCGATTTTGCCATGGCAATCATTCATTGAAAGAGAAAAACGTTTCAAATTAAAATCAAATCAGGCAACAAAAAACACAACACAAATTACTGAAACACTAATTTAACGCATTTACAAATAACACTGTGTGGTGAATGGGAGCTACAAATAGAGGAAATAATAAAGGAGAATTATACAAATAAATACCAACAAAATATACTTTGGTTATTAAGACTTTTAGATGCATGTTTCCTTTGCGGTCTATTTGGCAGCGGATAAAATAACTCTTTAAAAATTTACTGCCATGATGTTGACAATCTAAAAGTAGGTGGGCGGCTTAATAAAGACCTTGTCAATTCCTCTTACGTTAAATTAAATTTTATTTTGGGAAAACAAAGAAAGTTTAAAGAAGAATATAAAAAGAGATCCAATAAATTAATGTTAATTTAAAAAAGAAAATACAAAAAGTCCAATAAATAAAATTTTATTGGGAAAAAAAGAAGCTTTTATTTTTAGAATTTTAACAACTTTTTGTTCACAAGCCAACAAAAAATTTTCTAATTTTAATTTTTTGAAGGACCTTATGAATCATTCCATTTTACTTTCTTTTAATTTTGTATAAATTACATTAACGAAAACCGTTTTAGGGACTCAAAATGTTTTTGGAGAAACTAAATAAGCAAAAACATTCACGCACTTTACAGGGTGTTCACAACTACGATCGATCCAAGAGGATATCCAAAGATACAGAGGAATACGAGAGAAAGCTACGGAAAGTGGCTACTACTACACTAACTACTGAGATAGAGATGGAAAGTGGGAGAAAGTGGGGGGAAAGAGGGGCGTTAGCAACTTACGCGCTGCTTGCAGGAAGATTCAACTGACATGGGTTCGGATTAGTTAATGAGTTCGCTTCTATATACAATGTGGCTCCATGATTGATGATTTCCTGATGAGTCCGCGCATGCAACAACAACAGCAGCCCGAAACACACACCGAATGCAACGCCGAATTCAAATTCAACTTCAAATTGAAATTCAACTCCAACGCCAAAATCCAAAATCCAAGTCCAAAACACCATTCAAACACCAGAGTAGGAGGCCTGAAACTCACCTGGAATCTGGAACGTCTTCAGCGTGGCCGGTCGCTGGCCAAAGGTGTACTTGGGCGTGGCATCGATCACCGCCTTGGCCGCCGGCACCACGTCGTATTCGCCGGGTCCGGGATTGGAGAACCGTGTCAGTTCCTTGGGTCTGCTCTGCAGAGTGGCGGCTCTGGGATAATCACGGCCCTTCGCCCGCATCCCGGTCACATTGTATTGCGCCGGACCCGGACCGGAGGTGTCGTACTTGCCGCCCAACTTGTGCCCAAAGGAGTACGAGGGGGCGGCCTTCTTTTTCGAGTCCGGTACTTTGCTACCTACAAACAAATATGATTGAAATTGAATTGTTTTTATGATAAAAACACTTTTATATCAATATGGGCTTAAATAGGTTTGTTAAGCTGAATAAAAACAGTTTTAGGCCAGGATCGCAAGACCCAGAATCTGTAAAAAACATTCTTAAAATAAATTGGTAGATGGCAAGAAAATAAAATCAAATTGAATTTCAGCTTTTCACATAACAGCTTGAGTTTTGTTACAATTTATTTTTTTAATCGAGTAAAACTAATAAATTTAAATTTCATTTTAAGCCAATGAGACTCTTAATTTTCGATATCCACATATTTTTATACCCTTGCAGAGGGTATTATAATTTCAGTCAGAAGTTTGCAACGCAGTGAAGGAGACATCTCCGACCCTATAAAGTATATATATTCTTGATCAGCATCACTAGGCGAGTCGATCTAGCCATGTCCGTCTGTCCGTCTGTCCGTCCGTCTGTCCGTCCGTCTGTCCGTCTGTCCGTCTGTCCGTCTGTCCGTCCGTTTATATGCAAACTAGTCTCTCAGTTTTAAAGCTATCTGCATGAAACTTTCCCAAAAGTTGTCTTTCTGTTGCAGGTAGTATATAAGTCGGAACGAGCCGGATCGGACGACTATAGCATATAGCTCCCATAGGAACAATCGGAAAAATAAATGAAAAAAAATTATAACTTTGCTGTTTTTTAATTTTTTGTTTAGTTCTTCGACATTTAGTAATGGTTAAATATTTCCGATTTACGGTTTAAATTTCATCAAAATCGGACGACTATAGCATATAGCTCCCATAGGAACAATCGGAAAAATAAATGAAAAAAATTATAACTTTGCTGTTTTTTAATTTTTTGTTTAGTTCTTCGACATTTAGTAATGGTTACATATTTCCGATTTACGGTTTAAATTTCATCAAAGTCGGACGACTATATCATATAGCTCCCATAGGAACAATCGGAAAAATAAATGAAAAAAAATTATAACTTTTCTGTTTTTTAATTTTTTGTTTAGTTCTTCGACATTTAGTGATGGTTAAATATTTCAGAATTATGGTTAAAATTTCATCAAAATCGGACGTCTATATCATATAGCTCCCTTAGAAATAATAAAAATATATAAAATAACTATCAAATAATTGAGCTGCAAATCATCATAGCTTCAATGTTTTTAAACATATACGAAAGTAAATCATAATTTTAATGTTTTCAAAAATGTTTAATTCTTGCAATAGCTGCAAGGGTATATGAACTTCGGCTTGCCGAAGTTTGCTTTCTTTCTTGTTGCTTATTAAATAGTATCTGAATTTATATGTATAAATCTTTATATTTTAATATTTTGCACAGATCAACAGATTAAAGATGACCAAAATTAAATTAAATAAGACCAAAAATTTTAAAACTAAGAAATATTTTATATTACGTTTTTTTAATGCGGTATTTTTACTAGTAGTTCTTGCTTTAGGCCCAAATAAATTTTATTATACCTTTCTCTTGTTGCAAATTTAAGAACTTTAAAATGCATAGATATTCAAAGTAATTACTACACTTACCGATCAAAGTCGGCAGCTGGACGGTGGCTGGGCCTGGATTGGTGGTCTCGGCTGCGATCCTGCCAATGCGGACCGTTGGCGTCCAAGGACGCTGCTCCACGTTGCCGCCCATGTTTATTGGACGAATCTTTCGCACGCGGGCACAGGGGCCTTGATCCTGTTCCTTTTTCTTCGCCGGGGGGCCGACCTTGGTGAGAACAATAACTTTCTTCATCTTGCCGTGTTTAAGGTTTACAAGATATCAAGCTATCCAACAAAACTATACTCGAATTTTATTCGAAAGGCTAACGATGACATTTACATGTGTGAGTGGCTGACTGAAATGTATAGTTCGACCCCCAAATTGGGGTAACCTAATAATCCAAATTCCGCCCTACTCCAACTGCCAGTCGATGACACAAAAATCAATCGTCTGGGCTGGCTGTTCTTTCCAATTTTCTGGGCCAATTCCGTGGGGTGGCTTAATGGGCAGGCGTGTGGGCTTTTGGCCATAAAAGAAAGGAGCTTTTGGGAAATGGAGGGGGCGTGTCGTGTGGCGGCTGTCACTCTTTTCGCTGCAGTGGCTGTTGCTCAATTGTTGTTGCAGGTTGTTTCCTTTCGAGCCGCGGATTTGTTGCGCCGCGCGAAAGACAAACAATGGCAATAACTTTGCGGTAGGCTCGTCAGTCTCAGTTAGCAGTGGTAGGGAAAAAGTTAGGAAGGGGCTTAAAAGGGCCCAAAAAGATAGGGAAACTATAATTCAATTCAATTCAATTCAGGAATATATGACTTTCATTGAATTAAATTACACAATAATAAAAATGTCTCAGATAAAAGCAAATTTACATACTTTTGTTTAGTAAAATGTCAATGATTTTTTTTACATTTAAGATTTGTTGAAAATGTCATAAAATGTAGCAAAGTGTTGGATTTCAAAATAAAATTCTATGATAAATAATAAGCTTAAACTTTACTATACTTTAATAATTATTATTATTCAAAAGGAAGTTTGTCAAGCTTATATTTCCGTATAGGAACAAAAAATGTAAATAGAAAACAAAGTCGATAATTTACATAATAAACAGGTAGTGGATTATACAAACATATGCTGACTCTCAGACTCTGACAAAAGAAATAATAAAAAAGTTTCCAGCTAGTAAAGAGTTTGGGCCATAGGAAAATATTTTAATGAGCGCCCCCTCAACAACATTTTTATTCCCGAAACCGAAACCAAAACCGAACCGAACCGGCTGCCCTGGGTGACGACCTTCTTTTCACAGCTCAGCGAAACACGGGAAGCCAAGTGTTGCCCATCGACAGGCTGGCAGTCATCGTCATCCATCGGAAAACAGACGGTGCCGGCTGGTATCAGGAGGAGCTCCTGTCCTCCACCTCCAATTCATGCCATCTGGGAGTGTAATCGATATGGGGGCTGGAATTGACGGCAACTGAGATTTTGGGGAGAGCCCACTCCATGCCGACAAACAAATCGGGGGCCTGGTCAACAAGGTTGCGCCCCGAATCGAAACGAAACGAAGTGTGCTAAGTGCTAATGCTGCCCATTTTGTGGGGCATGTAAGCCAACAAAACGATTACTTTTAATGACTTATGGCCGACAATTGCATGACGGACAATGAAGGCGAACCTAAAACCTAAAACCGAAACAAAAACAAACTCAAACTCAAACTCAAACTCGCAGGCGAACCCGAAAGAAAAGCGAAGCGTGCCACTTCTGGTGGCCGTGAAAATTCGCCAGGCTGTGTAAATAATTACAACTATGTTAGGGGGCGTGGCGTGGCTGTTAACAGGGCCAATAAAGCCGTCGCTCTCCTGCCAAGAAGAACTTTTTTTGCGTTTCGCCTGCCTGCTGCACTTGTTACTTGCCACTTTCAACTCCTGACCTCGCATGCAATTCAACTAAAAGTAAAAAAAAAACATTGTTCTGTTTGCAAGGCAGTCATCAGCTGGCTGGTTGGCTGGTCTTATAAGGCAGCTCTTACATCACCATCATGAGCTTGGCCAGCCCACACACGGAACATCATGTTCAATTGCTGTTCGAGGCCAAGATCAGCTAAGAAAACTGAAAATCTATCGGATGAATCAGAGCCGAGCCGGCAGTTGAGCCAACAGAAGTCAGACATCTGTCAGACAAAAGACTCTTAGGCCTTAGACTACCCACAGATATTTGCATTGGAAGAAATCAGTTTAAATAAATAAAGTGATTAAAGATCAATTGTACAGCAAGTGTCTTTGTGTTTCAAGATCTATAAAAAATGAAACCCCATATGGTAACAGGAAAAAAGCTTGGTAATACAGTTCTAAACAAATAAATATGATTTCTATTGTCTTCTTTTAATGGTAATATATTCCATACGCAACTACAACTTTTGTTTTAATCATATTAAAGAAATTTCTATTTGACTAATATGAAAAGTTGTCTTTGAATTATGTTATTTATAAAATTTAAATTTGAAATTTAAAATGTAATGTTATATATTTGCAATATATTTGCAATATACATATGTCTCAATCCATTACTATTTAATAAATTTAATTAGAGGTATTAGAACTATATTCTTCATTTCATATAATATTTTTCAGAGTTATATTCTTCATATCACGTGATATTTTCCCAAGTGTAGTTTCAATTGAACGAAGTCTGGGGAGACCCGCTAAGAGGTCGCATTTAATCAAGTTAATAGAGCGTTAGCTCATGCAATAAATTTGCATGTGGCGATCAGATTTCAGTAATCAAATTATAGATGGTGATGTTCGATAATCTGTGCACGGGGGTCAGTGTTAACAACCGGCTGCAGAGCAGAACAGCACCGCCCACACACTCGACTTTCTATCTGTCTATATCTCTATATAAATATATATGTTGGTTGGCTTTTATTTTTGAAAACAAACCTTGGCTCTCATGATTAGTTACAGAGATACCGATTGCGAGAGACTTTGCAATTTTTTAGCATTATCTTTATGACCTTCAGTGATTTGTTTATGTTGCTTTATTTATATTTGATTTAAATTGATATTCACACAATTGACCCGACTGTGGACCCATGACGACAACAACAAATTTAGCACACGTCAGCTTTTATTAGTGATATCAACTTTAAAAATATAAATAAACACGCTTACTTCAGACATTACAAAAGCAGCAATACCCTGTTGACAAATTATTGGTTGTGTAATATTTTATTTAATAACCAATAATTTGCTTTACTTTAAAAAGAAAAATGAACGCAAATCTAAATTTACTAACAAAAATTATATATTTGCTAGAACCTATTGAAATATTATTTTATAATCGGTTTTGCTAAAAGTTAAAAAAAAATCATTAAATATCAAAAATTATTTAAAAAAACTAATTGGTTTTTTATAAACCTGATACACCTTTAATTGATATACCCCATGCATAATGTATATTGGGTATCGGGTATCTGACATGATCAGCCATCACTCACTGAAAACGTTTTTATTTTCTTTTAACTTCGCTTCACGCTCTCCAAATGGCGAATTAAATATGAGCTCATTCCCAAAATTTAGACAATTTCCAGCCGTCCATCTCGGAGGCTTTTACGCCCAAATACGGCGGCCCAGTCGTTTCCTTTAGCCCACATCGAGTGGTCCGAAAAAGCCAGTTCGGAATTGGGTTTCCAGACGCAGACGGCAGGCCGACCCACGCAGAGCCGCAACTCCATGACTCCGCTATAAAGCCATATAGCCATAATTCGTGTGCTGTCTTGTCTCTATTAACTATTGACTTTTTCGCCATAGACAGTGTATAAGTTTAATTAACAGCGAACATGTTGAGCAATTCCTCCCCAAAAGCCATGGACAACAAGTGAACAGCCGGCAAAAGGCCAAAAAAAAAAGTGTAGTGGGGTTAACAAACAAAACATGAGAATCATAGCCAAAACATCAGCGAAACTCAAGTCTGATAAAACGGCAAGAACAAAACGACTGACGTCAGCTGTGTGAACTAGTTTGCGATCTCCAAATCTAATTAAGTTGCTCAACATTCTCGGTTTTCTGCGGCGAACGTGTTCGGGCTGTTAAAGCCAAGAGAAAGCTGGGAAATGAGGCAGGGAAAAATTGGCAAACCTTCTCTCCGAACAACTGGATCGTGGTTCGCTTCTCAAGGCACTATTAAAATTCCAAATGGCTTGTAATAACTACGATTCTTTGTGGTAAATTTAATGGGACATTCGCTTCCGCTCCAACGATTTATGCGCCAAGTACAATATTCTCTGTGAGCCTGAGATCATTTGGCTGACTTCAAATTTGCATATTGAAACACATAAATACCTGTTGGATCATTTTATAAATATTTATTTTGCGATTACTGCAATTCCCTCTCCCCGCCTGGGAGATTAACCTTTTCCTTTGGTTATTTTGTTATTCTTTGTGTGGTTAACGCTTTTTTTGTGCCTGCCATAATCAGTGACTTTGAAAAATGAGCTAAGTCGGGTCGACCGGTTATTAGAGCTGGCTGATGTCATGGGCGCTACGGGCTAAATAGACAGACATAAGGGTATCACACAAAAACTCCGGCGAGACGACGGAAGGGTTACACATTTATGCCAACAAGTGACATCAATACGAGAGTGTCATTGACTAAACAATGGGAGGAGCACTGCGGATTGGGGGCGGAACAGCTGACTAAAGGCTCTAGCCCTAGGCTCTAGCCCTATGCCACCAGGAAATGCCAATAGTCAGACAGTCAATGAACTTTTGGGTCGGGTCGGGTCGGGTCAGCACGCAATCCACTGGCTGGTTGGTGGGGTCTGGGCCTCAGAATTGGTTAACGCCTACTCCAGTTTTTATCCTTACCGCAGGCTAGTCCTCTTTTATATCCGGGGTATCTGTATCTGAATCTCCTTCTGCTTCTCCCGCTCGATGGTTTGATTTTCGTAACTTTCTTTTGCACAGTAAAAAACTTCACCTTATCGGTTGGCCAAAAACTTCGATGGCCAACAGTGATTTGCAGGATTAGTCGCGATTTTCGGGGATTTTTCAAAACATCTGTTCACTCGAAAGCACTCGAAGAGAGATTGCTATTTTCGTTGTTATTGTAGTTGGTTTCGTGGCTGATTTATTATTTCGTTGATTTGTTCGTTGATTGGGTTCAAGTGACAGCTGCTTCTGAGTGTCGGTCTCTGACTCGCGTTAAAATCTACTAGAGATTTCCAAAACAAACTACAATTAGCTGATTTATTTATGGCGAGTTTGTTTAAGCTGCGTTTGTCTTTCTTTTTTTGGGTTGAGAGAGAGCTAGAACCGAACTCGAGGGCTGTCGAACAGAAACTGCGGAGCAATGTAGCTAACGCTCGCTTTTCGTTTCAAATTTTCGACGTAAGCTACTCCAAGACGTAACGTAAGCGTTAACAGTCAACGTAATGAATAACATTTGCTTACTATGTTAAATGGTCCGCAAGTTTTTGAAATAAAGTTAAACAATAAAGCACAACATAATTGTTGTTTCTTTATATTGTTTTAATTTAATTTTGTTTATACAAATTATAACTTTTCTTTATATAAAGAAGAAAAGAAAGTAGGAAAGAAAGTATTTGTTAGTTAACAAAAACTATTCGGCTTTATTAGCTCTTATTTCTACTCCCATAATTTTGATAGCCAATAAAACTAGTTAGACATGGCGAGGAGGAGAGTCGGTTTTAAAATTTTTGGATTTTCATATAATTAAACATTTATAAATAAATACAATCACCTAAGAACATTATAGGAGTGCTAACGGAATTCATTTTCCTACCCAAATAAATCTTTCCCAAGAATGATTTCCATTTAATTGGGCTTTGGGGCTCATTTGAATATTGAGAAAGTCATATCTAGGGGAAGGTCGCCTTACATAGACAATGCCCCCGGACTCCTGCCTACAGTTCAATCGTATCTTAATGGCTCATTGACTATCTGTAATTCGACTGGGTTTGCGCTCATCGGGAGGCCTATTTATGGCGGTGCTCACAACAAATAATGCCGCTTGATTGTGGTTATGTAATGCGAGACCGCGATCTTGCCTCCGGCAAATCTTACCGCCCCTTCAACCCCCCTCTTTTTTGCACAAATGGTGCGGTGGAACACAGACAGCCTTCACCCACACACGTGACTAATGGAGCATGACAATTTGTTTTGCACAGAAACCACGATAATCTTAATTTTTTAAAAGACTGTAAAGAACTAATTTTCGTTAGTTTTTTTACTTACCATTTAAAAAAAATTAGTTCAAAATTAAGATATAGATCAAGTGCAATACCAAAATTCATATCAACAAAGTGAAGGCTTATGTATCTCTAAGAATTAAAAAATGTGAAATGTATCTCTAAAAATTAAAAAAAAATGAGAAATATATCTCTAAGAATTAAAATAAACGAGAATGAATTAAAATAAATCAAAAACTATAAATTTACAATTTAGATTAGATTTATCCACATAAACATACAAGGTTAAAAACTTAATTGATTCTTTAATTTGTTTTATTGTTTATTTAGTGGTACCCTAATAGTAGGCAATAAATAGACAAAATAAGAGAAAATCATAATTTGAAAATCATGCATATAAATAGTTTTATTTTTTGTCTATCATCATAAATGTGGCATAATTTCAGGCTAAGTAACAATGTTACCATGCTTAACCCAATGAATATAAATAATTTCATAACTTCTCTTTGTTTAATGTTTATTTATTTTCTTGATAATTATCTATGAAATCCTTAAAGCAGCCCGATTTCAAGGAGATAAAAAGACCGCAACGCTCCTCAAAGCTGGCTGTGATATGAATATTGTTAACAACATGTCACCGCCACCTTGAAGACAGTTGCAGTTTTTACATATAATTTATAGTTTTAATGGACCCCAACTATTTATAAAACATGAAAGAGCAGCATTATTTTCGGTTCTTTTATTAGCAATATCACGTTGATGATTTTTGGTTTTGGTTTTCTTTTTTTCTGGGAGTTGGGTTTCATGGCAATAAACGTATCTTGTAATTGTATGTTTATCGTATATATATATATATATATATTTCTATATGCATAGGCGCAAGAAATCAACTAAGCCGCATAGTATAAGATAGTAGTGTAATTTGTAGATTGCATATGTTGACCTTAGTCTGGATAGTGGCTACTGCAAGGATTTGGCGGATGGGCAGGCTGCCCTCGCTCGGCAAGAGGAATCATCATAGATAGGCATTATCATTGTTTGTGGATCGGCTAATGCTATATATAGTCGTACGAAGGACGCTTACTGGCTACCACATTCATATAAACGTAGACAAACCTCGTATCAAAATGCTGTATCAAAAGTTGTACAAAATGCGCTTTTGGTTTTGCTTGTTGGTGTTTCGGCTTGATTTGCTGTTTGATTTGGTTTCTGTTGGTGTCAGTTCTCGCTATCTTGTATAGTCTGGCTATAAGTCTATGTGAGTTGCTTCTATTTTGGTTCTGTTGTCATTGCTTCAAATTCTTTTCGTCTGATCTTGGCTCGCAAACATTTTTTTTTTGGCGTGAAACCGAGTTCTGTGCTCGCAGTCTTCGAGTTTCGCAAAGGAATAAAAATAAGAGGTGGGGAGGGGTTATAAATAAATGTTCATCGTACATTTTATTTAATTTTCTGTTTTTCGTTTTCTCTTTTGTATTTCTGGTTGCTTAATCAAATTATAAAATTAATTAAGTAAAACTTTCATAAAAATACGGTAAAATATGTGTATAGATAGATACCTATATATCTTTATATGGTGTAAGCATAAAAAAACGAAAGAATTCAGTTAAAATATAAAGCATATGGTATAAATTTCTCGCATTTATATCGTACTCGATTCATACTTTGAGCGTGGGAGAAGTCATCGCAAGATCAAAATTAAATAAAAATAAAAATCGTCTGCAAGAATTAAACAATAAATCACAAAACTTAAGCTAAGCACGTAAAAATCTAGTCTAAAAATTGTTTATGTTCCTTGGCGAACTTTTCCATAATCATCCTTCGGTTCCTTCATCATTTATCAGTTGTGCAAACATTTCGCTTTCGACTTGAGGCTTACATTTTAGTGTTTAATGCTTAATCAGTTTTCTTGTTTGTTTGTTTCTATCATTCTTTAGAGATAATCATATTTTGCTTAGCACAGTGGCTCGCTATTTAAAAAAGCACATTTAAGTATCATATCATATGCATGTATCGTTATAAGTTTGTAATTCGCTTTCGGTATGTGAAATGTATCAAAAATTTGACTATTACCTACAGTTTTCCATACTTTAATGCATTTCCGTTTTCTCTTGTAATATAGTTGCTATATATGACTGTCAGTTGTTGCGCTTGGTATCTACACCGACTAACAGTTAACGCGTTCATAAACATAATGATATCATTCGCTCAGCTCTAGCTCTAGTTCTAGCTCTATCAAATAATCCAAGTATGCCATAATCGTATGGGTTCTCGTGCCGTAATTGTAAACTGGCTTGCGCTTAACTAAATCTTATGGTTCATATACATGTATGTATAATTCTAAATATATCAATCTTCTCCGCCGCATCCGTGTAACCTAAATCTAATGCCTTTAACGTTCTTCAATATCTTAAGATGCTTCAGTGTGTTCAGTGCGTGTTGATTCCAGGCGATGAGTGCCGCCATCTGGTCCGCTTCTTAGTCGGTTAGCGTCTGGGCCACAAGAGCCAGCTGGTCCATGAGCACACGGAACGCGGGACGCTCCTCGGGTCCATGAGACCAGCACAACTTCATGACCTATAAATAGAAATAGGTGATTAGAAAGGGTCACAACTGTTTAGGGTATTTGAACTCACATCATAAATCTCCTTGGCACACGACTTTGGTTTCTCTAGGATAATTCCGCGCTGCACACGCTCCACAACCTCGGTGTTCTTTAGGCGACCGTACGGCATCTTGCCGCAGGTGAAGATCTCCCACATCAGCACACCTAAAAAACATTTATTAGTGCCATTAAATCAATGGGCATTGGTTGCAAAGACTCACCGTATGCCCACACATCGCTCTTAGAGGAGAAACGCGTATAGTTGAGCACCTCGGGCGGCGCCCACTTGATGGGAAACTTGGTGCCGCCAGAGCTGGTGTACTGATCGTCCAGAACGTATCGGGCCAGTCCAAAGTCGGCCACTTTGACGACATTCTCGGAGCCCACAAGGCAGTTGCGGGCAGCCAGATCTCGATGGATGTAGTTGTGGCGCTCCAGGTAGGTCATGCCCTTGCTCACCTGTATGCACATGTCCAGCAGCAGACCCATGTTGCCAATCAGGGTCTTCTCATGCCGCCGCAAGTAGTTCAACAAGGAGCCATGCTTCATGTACTCGGTGACAATGTAGATGGGTCGGTGCTTAGAGCACACGCCATACAGCTGCACCAGATTCGGATGCTGCAGCTTGGTCATCACCTTGGCCTCCTCAATGAAATCGTCCTCGGACATGGTGCCCTCCTTCATCATCTTCACTGCCGTATCAATCGATCCACGCCACTTCCCACGCCGCACCACACCAAACTGTCCCGATCCCAGCTCCTCCATCAGCATCAGCTCCATCGGATGGATCTCCCACTTGTCGTGGGACAATCCCGCCGTCGGTGGAACTGGACGATCGCAGGGCGAGGATTTTAGACGGCAGGCCAAGCCCCCAGAGTTGTGGCGATGGTAGTTGATCAGATCCGGAATAGTTTCACAGCAGTGCTTCTCGCTCAAATAATACTCGCAGCGGGCATTCTGCTTGATGTGGTAGTGCTTCACATGCGACTGTGGACTGTGAATAATATTACATTAATATTTATATTTTTTATTTAGTTGTATTTTTCGACTTACACTTTGGTATGCAGCGATAGTGTGTAGAGACCCTTTGTCGATGACTTGCGGACCACAAAGCAGCCCTCCTTGTCGCCCTGTTTTAGCAGGGATTCGGCCCTCTGTCGCGACATGTCGCCCACATACCATCTAGAAAAAAGGATTTACAATCATTAGAAAGACACATAATATTGTTATCCAAAAACCTATGCTTCAAAGTAAGAAACCTAAGTAAAGAACATGACATTATAGCTTAGCGTACCATTAAATAAAATTGATTTTATGTAAGAAATTTAATATAGATATTTAATAAATGGACAAGTTTATTTTGTCCTCATAAAAACTTTAGATATCATTATTATCATACACTGAACACATACTTTTTTATGGCTGCTTTAATGATTTTTGGTTTCAACTGATGGCTAAGGCCTAAGTTTTGTTATTTTCACAGCTTGTTTTACTCACTCATAGCGCTCCAGGCCCAGCAGCGCCTTAGGTTTGACAT